ATACTGTTTATAAAAAAAAATCTACTACATTATTTAAATTACTTTCACCCATATACGAAAATATTATATCAATATATTGTATATATTTAGGATGAGTGAAAAGGAAAAAATTGAAAAAAGCGTTAACATAACGATCAAATTCAAAGGTTAAATAATTATATATTTTGCTGACGTGACATTTTTCGTTAGCGTTCTGTATTTATAAAAATTTGGAAAAATTGAAATGAGGTGCTCAGAGCATTAGTGGCCTATCAAACATTTTGGCAAAAATGAGTTATTATTTTCAATAGAGCTGTAATAGTCTAAAGAATTGTTCTATATTTTTAAAATACTTAGTTTACTCTTCTTTTAAGTCTATTTTTACATAAAAATTTTTTCAAAAATATATTTAAATATTTCAATAGAAATTTAATCGAAATGTCATTTTTGCAAGTAGACCAGTAATGTGCCGACCGTCTCAAATGTGTTTACAATAACCGAGAAAAATATGAATAATAAACTATATAATCATATAATTAACAAAAAAAATTAAAATTTAATGTTTATAATATTCGAGTATTATATTAGTGATCATATTGACAGAACTAAAAAATTGAATTTCAGTTATCAAAATAAGTACCTATGTAAATAACTTACAATATCATCAAAATATTCTCAAATAACAGAAATCATAGACTTTAGTAGGTATATATGTATATATAAAATTTAATTATTTATTAAATTAATTTGTCAGTCATTTACTATCATACTAATAATCAAATTCTATATGTATGTGTGAGCACAATTACATCGATTGACCTAATTAACTTTAGATTTAACATTTTTATATGACATCACAAATTATAACAAAAAAATAAAATATTACAATTGAATAATAAAATGATGACAATAATTACTTACATAAAAAATAATTTTAACTTAAATTATTTAATAAATATAACAATAGTATAAAATGTCTCTAAAAAAATATATAAAATAATTAATAAAAAATTATTGAACAACATAAATGAAATCATTTTTTTTTTTTCAAATCTTGTCATAATGATTACACACGTACATTTATTTTATTATTATTGTTATACGATTACTATTATTATTGTTATACCATTATTATTATCATTGCTATTATTATTATTAGTATTAATTATTATAAAAGTTATTATCATTGAAGAATATAATATGTAATTAACGAAATTTGAATATAGAAAATTTGCCAGAAAAAAAGAACAATACAACCAACATTGAAACCAAGTGGTTTCTCATGCATTTTTTTATAATTTAAAAAAATTTCTTTACTTCGTGTTTTTTTTCTTTAATATAATTAAATAATTTATATATATATATATATATATTGTATTTGTATATTAATTATATACTTTAAGAAAAAAAAACTAGACGAACCTTGTTCTTTTTTTTTTAACTATATTTTAAATATTATAGAAATTTTGGTATTTAAATTTTTCTTTAAAAATATTAAATATTTTTCTGAATTAAAATTTTTTTCTGAAATATAAGAAAAAGAAATTATAATAATAACAAATTTGTTTTCTTCGTTCAGGAAAATTATTAAAAATTATTAACTACAATTGATATATCTTAATATTTAAACGAAGGAAATGTCAAAATTGATTGCTTATAATAATAAATATTTTGATAATTTGACCACAATTGACATAAATTATTATGAGTTATTTGTCACCTTTGACAAATATTTATTTGACATCTTGCTAAGAGATATTATTTTGTATATGTAAATGTTTTAGTTTTATTCATACTTTATAGTTTTGTTGATTTACACAACAATTAAATATTATGATTTATAATATTATATATATATATTATTATAGTTCTCAGTTGTAACAAATTCGAAAATTGTATACGCTATTGTACACACGGAAGATATATACATATAAATCGTTCAGGAATTACTTGCTGTAATAAAATACTCGCATTCGGCAATACACTCTATCAGAAGGAATGAATTGCCGGACTGGCAATAAAGAAACATCAGAAAATTAGCGCAAAAATGAGATTTTTTTTTGCTTTCAAATTTAAAAATAATAGGTAATATTTTTTATCAATTTGATTTTTAATTCTGAAATATTTGACGACTAATTATTCAAATATTTCAGAATTTGCAGATTGCGTTAACATAAAAAACTGAGCTGACGTTTTTGCATATTGTTTTATTCTGCAACTTAGAAATTTAAGTTTAAATTTAGATATTTCAGCGTAGCGTACAAAAACGCCTTGTATTTAATACTCGTATTCCCTTAATTTTTCAAAATTTGTCTATATTTTATTAACTAAATTGAAATACATCACTGGCCTTAATTCTTATTTAATATTTGAGAAAATTCCTATTTAATTTACATAAAATATTATTAAAGAATATAAATTTATGACAATCATAGTCAAACTTATAAAAATAATTAATATTTTTAATTTTAATATTATAACATTATTAATAAAATTGACAATTTTTTTTCTTACTTTTCATATTATGTTATATCAATTATAGTTCCACATTAAAATTTTATATATTATCAAGGGCTTACGGGGAAAATCCTTCTATCTAACATAAGAAAAAATTTTAAAATACTTTACAATTAATGGAAAAAACCTACCAAATTCATATTACTACTATTTGTACTGTAATATTTTGGGAATACTGTAAAACTTTGGAATAAAAATATCTTTGTTTTAATTTATGATCTGCACATTTGTATTATGAATAGCAGTGAAATAATATTTTAGATTTTTTGTTTTTCAAATATATTTCAAAATTTTTAAAATGTGAGATATAGAGGGTTTTCCCCATAAGCCCTCGTTATATTAAATATAACAAAATATATATAATAATTTAATAAATAATTAATATAGTAATTTAATGTCTAATGTAAGAAAAAAAAAAACAAATTAACATATTTTTTAGAACTACATTGGTTTTTCTTTAAATTATATTGTATATTTTTATAATAATATGGAATGTATGTATATTTTTGATTTTCAAAATTAAAATGTTACTTATTATATATTGCTCAACACACCTTACGTATATATGGCAGCTTGAGTACTTGACTTGAAATCAGTTCGAAATTTAAAATGCTTTTTTTTGTATGTCAGCTTGAAATTCAATGATGTCTAAGTTAGCAACAGAACAAGAGCGATTCTTCGCGACGAAATATAAAAATTCATATAGAATACACATTATTTAAATAAGACTACCCAGAAGCAAAATGACCATTGCAAATTTAACCAACAGTTGCAAAATAGTCGAAATTTGTATTTTACAGCTGGCGGTTTTTTTTTTGACATCATATTTTTTATTCTGCCGTTCCACTGTTTTTCCGGGTTAACAATGAAAATTGTTCGCTGTTGCCGCCCACCGCTTTGGCTCTGTTTTAACAATTAGCTTGAAAAAAAATCTTGAATTTAACAATCCTTGAAGAAATAGAAAACAAAGTAATTTAGAAAAAAAATTATGTTCTGTTATTTTAAAGCTCTTGAGCTTTGAGGCAGTGATTTTGTATCATGTAACTTTTATATAAGCTGCCATATAAGTGAGGTAATTGCTTCAATCAAGATTGATAATATAAACTAAATTCTTCAATATAAATTTGTAACAAATTAATTTTTTTTTTTTATAAAATCCATACTTTATATATTTTATATTTTTAATATTTTTATTATTTAATTTATTATATTTAATTTATTAATATTATTTTTAGCACTTCAAACTATTTTACATTACATAATGCAATTGAAATTTAAAAAAAAAAATTAGTAATTAATAATAATTCTAAATTTTTTTTTCATTTTAATTTTTTAATACAATTTAATTATTTAATCATATATCAATCATATGTAAAATGATGTAACTGGCTTTACAAAAAAAAAAATCTATTTAATATCATTAATTTATATAATTTTCATTAATTTTATAAATTATTTCAAAATTTTCTAATACGAAAAATTAAATTAAATTAAAATTAAAATTAACTAGAGAATATAATTAATTATATATGTATGTAAATTGTAATTAGAATTTAATTTTTATCTAAAAATATTATTATGTAATCAACCCTATCATGAATTCCGTTCGTAGCCATAAAATTCGAATGTAAATTACGAATGTCATATTATTGTCAATTCTGAATTACTAAAATTCTGTCCCGAATATTCATAATAGAGAGTAGTTCGTTCGAGTTCGTAGTAATAAATCGAGTAAAAATAACAAGCAATTTTAAGAGAACGGTCGTTTTAATTTTTGAGTTTTCTATGTTTTCTTCTTTTTCTAACACAGTTACTATCATTTTTGAATTTACATTTACTTAAAAACAAAATTTTTTATCAAAAATATTCAAAAACTAATAAAAAACTTAAAAACGCCGCTTTTAAAAAATATTCTTTTGTATGAAAATTATTTGCTCAAATATCACCAAAAAAATATATGTATAATAATCTTATAAACAAACATTTGACAGTTTGAAATAAAATACTGATTTTGACATTCCGAAAAATGATTACTGTCATTACTAATTCACAATCTCTATACGAATGGAATTTGTAGTCATTTAAAAATTCTATGTCGTACCTAAGTTCGTAATTTATAAGATTCTACGAGTGGGATTCATGCTAGGGCTAAATATTTAATCTCAATACAAAATTTGACTAATTGAAAAAAAAAAAAAAACTTTTTTTTTTGTGTTTTTACTTTTTTACTATTTAATTAATTAATTAATTAATTATAATATATGTAATGTTTATATATATAATATAATAATTTTAATTTAATTGAATAATGTTTGGTTTTTATATGTTCAAATTTAATATATGTAAAATTCAATTTATATAATATCAAGTTAAGTATGCAATATAATATTTATGTGTATATTATTGAATATATAATATAATATAATTATGGTATAAAGTAAAAAAAAAATAAATAATTAATTAATTAACAAATTTCCTAAATCACCATTATTGAAAAAAAATACCTCTCTTGTGCGAGATTCCCAGTAAGCTTCGTTAATTAAGACATCTTCGGTGATATTCTATAAAATGGGTTTTTTTTGGGTTTCAATTTATAAAATAAAAATTCTTACAAATTTTTGATTTTTTTATTTTTTTTGATGTTTTTATATGTTATACTTTCTTTTTTGTTTTTTGTTTTCTATTTTGTAATTACACACACAATTTGTATAATTACTTTTAATTTTAATATTTTGTTTTCTATATTTTTTTTTATATTATTTTATTAATTATTAAAATAAATTTTATGAAATAAAAATTTTTGAAATATTCTATATTTTATTATTATTAATATTAATATTATAAAAATATTAAGGATATGAAGAAAATATATAAAATTTAATTAAAATATTTTTAATATTTTTAAACCCTGGGTATATTAATGATGAATTCAAAATTCCATATAGTTTTCTTTTTTATATTATGTTAAGTTTTTCTTATATAATAATTATAATGATTCTTATTTGTTTGTTTTTTTAATAATTTGTTTTTTCTTTGCAAATAAAAAATAATAAAAGAAAAATTATTTTTTTGACACTTGAAAATTGAAAATTACACAGTTTAATTTAAATGTCATAAAACAGTGTTTCTCAATTTTCGAATTTTCATTTTTAAAACTAAATTTGAATAAAAAAAAAAAAAATAAAGATATAAAAAAAAAAATTATCACCTCCAATCTTTCAAATAAATATATAAAACAAAAGAAGAAAAAAATGAATTACATATAGTATGCAAGAAAATATTAAATAACTTATCGTGCTCTCAATTTAAATGAGATCCACGTTATTGTCTATTAAATTTAAAAATTAACAAATTAGTTTTATGATATACGTATGTAAGTTTATACAATTTTCTCGTTATACAATATTTAATTTAAATTCTCTTTTCTTGTATTCCAGTATTTAGAATCAGGAAAGATTGTGGAGAGTCGCATGCTTGTGCATCACGGGGGGTTAAACTGCGGCAATTGAGGTGATTTTGGGAATAATTTCTTGACACCTTATTGTTAAAATGGCAGTGAAGGCTGTTCTTTCATATACTGGGAGGAAATGGAGTTGAAGTGATGGAGCAATGGATCAACATCGTCTTCTCAGCCAGAGGTCGGTTGCAGCTTGGAGAAAAATTTTACCTCGTTGCTGAGCAATAGGAGGAGTTGGGAGCGCAAATTTTCAGGTTATCCAGTGGGATCACACGCTATCAAGTGGAACACTGATCGATCAAGAATCTGGTAAAAAAGTGCAGCTTCCAGAAAAATTTTACTATATTGCTGAGCAAGTTGGCAGGTAATACACTAATGGATCAAGGACCTGTCCTGTGACGGGGGCGGGTATATTTAGGCCAAGAACCAAATTCTTCCAACCTGCGTGAACCTTTCCAAGTGTCGGTCATGCTGAAGTGTACGCCATTAAATTGTTCATTCGATTCAGCCTTGAAAGGGAAAATCAAGGACAGAAGATAATGATTATGTCGGATAGTTGGGCTGTCATCGCATCGCTGAATTCATTTGCAGTTTCCTCTGAGGTAATATGGATCTATCTTGATGAACTCAATGAATTAGGTAGATCACTCAATGAATTAGGCTGCCTGGCCATTTGGGCGTAAATGGAAATGAAGCAGCTGACGCACTGGTAATAAAGAGGGCTTTCAAATCTCTTTATCTGCGAAATCGGACCACATAGTGTTCATTAGGAACTAAGAAAAGTTTCAGAGCGGTGGCGGCCAGGACACTGGGGATGTTTTCCAGGCCCCGGATTACGTTCTGAACATTATAACTAGCAGTTATGATTTAAGGTGATTATAGGGATGGGTAAGAATGAGGTGAGAATTCTCACCAGGATCGTGTTAGGTTACTGCCGCCTTGGATGAAACCTCAGTAGGTTGGGCCTGGAAATTGAAGACACTATCAGATTCAGTGGCAATGATTAGGAGACATCGGTACACCCACGGGGAGAGTGTAGTGTTCGCTGGAGAAGGAAAATGCCGGTAGCTTAAACTCATCTGGGCGGTGGATATCGAACGGGTACAGTAAATGGATTCGCCGTACTCAGGGGGGAGCACAATAGATCCTGTTAACCCGGTTGGTTCAGGTATTAAAAATAAATTTTGTTATTTTATTAATATTCTTGAAAATAATATGATAGAAAATAGGTAAACGATTTACTCTCGGGATATTTAATATTTTCTTGCTTTTTCATAAAAATTTAAAGAAAAAATAACTCACCGCGTTTTCCCTACGATCGTATACAGGCATTGATACTGTAGTCATAAAATGATACATATCGGATTCATCACTATAAATACGTAAATTCTAAAAAATAAAAATTTTTTTTTAAATAATTTTTTTCTCAATAATATTTAACAAAAAATATTTATTATGGAAATTTTTAAAAAATTTAATTTTAAATCTTGCTTTTACCCTTCTTTGTTTTTGAAGAAAACGTTTCTCTTCTTCTTTTTTCGTAAAATATTCTTCACCTTTGACACGTACATTAACAACATCTTCTCTTTGCTCATCATTTTGTTTAATTTCCCATCTCCAATCTGACATTTTAGGATCCTAAAATTAAATTGATTTTAGATATTATAATTAATTATAATTTTTTTTTTTTGGTTTTTGTACTCGTATGTCTCCTAAATCTATAAATGTTTATATTCCAATTCAATTATATACAATAACTTTCTGATAAAAACCTAAAAATATTATATTATACTTACTACAGAATCAGCATAAACCTCAGTCCATATCACTGGATGATCATGTCGTCCTAATACTAATGGTCTTGCCATAACTGGTATATAATTTAAAACTTTTTCTCTAACTTCAGCTGAATCACTTAAACGTACATAGAAACCAGAATTTTCGCATGCCATCGCTTTAATTTCTTTTGTATCTGTTACTTCTTTACCAATTAAATATGTAAAAACACGTACTGGCTTCGGATATTGTCCATTAAATTGTTCAAATATTTCACTATAACTGAATGGTGCACCATCAGATATTATCATAATAGCTTGATTACATCTAGCTCCAACACTTTGTGTACGATATATTTCTAATACTTCGAATGCTTTTATTAGAGCTGCAGTAAAATTTGCCATTTGTTCTGTTTGAGCTTTTTCTATACCTATTTTAAATTCTCTACGATTACCGAGAGTTGCCTTTAAGTTTTTTTTTTATTCAAGCAAAGAAAAAGGGTACAAGTTTAATTTTTGTTTTTTTTTAATAAATATTCAATTAAATTACAAAAATTTATATAAAAAACATATTAAAGAATTGAAAAAATAATTCATAAATTATTAAAAAAAAAAAAAAGAAAACAGTGCTTAAAGTTTCAGCCTTATGCATAATATGCTGCATTCACTTGGGAATATTTCTTAATTTCTAGGTCGAAAATGAAATTAGGGTGAAATATGATGTAGAATGAAGTACTTTAAAAGTGCCTTTTTTAAATTTTAAACTAAACTTATTGTGTTTTGTGATAGAATTCATGAAAATTTGAAATATAATTTAATCAATAATTGAACTAATTTATCTTTGTAATTATTATGTAGAGAATTCTGTTATATGCTATATATACACATGTTATATGCATTACTACAAAATAATGAATGTTATCATAATAAAATAATAGAAAAAATACGAGTATAAGTCACAAACCCTGGGGGAGCTATTTATAAAATGCGATTTTTGAGTTTATTGTTCTTATGGTGATTCAGTTTATTAAATCACCATTATTGAATATTTATACACAAATCATGTATTTACAAAAATTTGTAATTTTGTGCATAATTTAAGATTGCATCAACCTGTTTTTTAATGTATTTTTTTTTTAACTTTTAAAAAGAACCGATAAGAAAGTGTTTACAAGAAATATGAGAGAAGCCAACATAATTTAAATGAATGAACCATATAAATGAACCATATGCAATTTTATCAAATTGAACTACAATATAACTTTAATATTAGTCTGGAATTCCTTTCCTAAAAGCTACAATCCTTATATTTAAATTCCTGTACCTATTCCGAGCTAAATAGTTTAATATGATATAATCGATAATTAAAATCGATGTTAAATGTTAAAATGTGAATTAAATCCAGTTCGATATTGCAGAGTTAACAAAAGCAATGTGACTTTTAATGTTGTCATATCTATATAACAGATATCTATATGTCAATTTCCTGTCATATTGTCAAAATTTTTTTGACATTTTAACTGCAGATTTAATTTTTTTTTTTTCAAAATAGAAAATTTTGAATAAGATAAATTGACTTTATTTAATAAAATAACATTAAAGTAAAATATCAAATTCAAATTATTAAAATTAATTTGTTGCTAAAGCAGTTTATTGTCAACTGAGTTGAATGCAAAAATTATTTACGAAAATTGATATGGAAAAATTTTTTAGCATAAATATTGTTGATTGCCGCTTAATGACCATGAGATGCAATCGTTGTCGTCCGGCATTTGACATTACCGATTACACCTACATATATATATGAACCATTGTAAAATATTTGTAATAATCGAATTAGCAACTCAAGGCTTTCAATATATTTTGCAATTTTTAAATAAAGAATAACTCACGTTCATTATTGTTACTAAATACTCGTAGTATTTTTAAGTTATTATATTGTATTATCATTCTGCTTAATTCTAATAAGTTCAAAGTAAAAGCATTATAATCTATATAGATCTCTTTCCGGCGTTTTCTTATTCTTTTTCATTTTCTCTTTTTTGAAATTCATAAAATTACATTATTTCAAGAATTATATTGGTTTCTTTATATTAAGTGCAAAATATGAATGTTACATACTATTATGCAACTAAAAATGAGATTAAAAACAAGAATAAGATAATAACACTATCTTCTCTCATTCCTCTTATTGTGAACTGTATAAAAAAAATTCTCCACAACTTAACTAATGACTAGCTAGTGTGCTACTGTACAGTACTGTACAAAAATACCATGTACCATTTTCCTATTTCATACACAATTTCGCTATTATTTTCATTTTAGTTACTTAAAAATATAAATCTGAGGTCAAACCAATGGTTTGCATAGTAGCTCTTTTCCCATGAATAAGTGAAAATAATGATTATAAAATAAAAATCTACCAAATTATTTAAATTACTCTCATCTATATATTATGTATGTATACAAAAATATATCAATTTATTGCATACATTTAGGATGAGCAAAAGAAAAACTGAACGAAGTGTTATAGAATTAAGATAAATAATTGAATTTTTGGACAACGCGTCATTTACCTTTACCTTTCTGATTTTATATAAATTTAGAAAAAAATTGTAGTTTCGCAAATATAAGGTATCGGAAATTCAAATTTTGCAAATTTCGAGAGGTTTTCTCCTTTACTCAAATAAATTTCTATAATAAAATCTATTCGTGTTTAAAATTTAAGTCTTCTATCTTAACAGGATGTAAAAGTCTTATAAATAGGTACACGAACTGACGGGGGGCGGACAGAATGAAACTAATAAGCACATTTTTTTCGAAAATTTTTTTTTTTGGAAAAATGCTAAAAATTAGGCTGAATTTAAGCTGATTCGCATTATCAAAAAATAAAAATTAAATATATAAACTAAAATTTTCTGCATATTATAAAATAACAAATAAAAAAAAAAGTATAATGCTTGTGAATTTATAGCGCAGCTTTCAGATTATTTTAAAATTTTATACTACATGACAGGAAACTTGGAAGCTAAAAAAACAAAAATATTAAAATTTAATTTTGTTAAATCTCAATAATAGATACATAATTTGTTAATGTAGAAATACAAAGAAGAAGAAGAAGAAAATAAAATTTTAAATATCATCAAATTAAAAAAATATTTAAAATTTTCTTTTATATAATCTAATTATATAGCTAGAATGCTAGATAATAAAAAAAAAAATCATAATGTATTTTCTACAATAACTACTGTGCATATTATGTACAAACATTCATTTTGTGAAAGAATGTAAAGGAAAAATTTAAACATACTAGAATAACATTAAGGTCTAATTTGTTTAAGATAAAAATGCATGAGGTAAGAAAAGAGAACAATTTTGGAAAATTTCATATTTTCCAAATTTATTCAATTTTCTTTAATATTTAAATTTTGATTCACAAGTAATGTGTAAATTTTTCCTTTATAATAATTTAAAATAATAATATTTTAAAAGCACAACATTAAGTAAGCATAGTACTAGTCCATAGTTGTTTTTGTTTTTTAGCGAAATTTTAAATTCTTGGTATAGTTGCATTCTTTATAACATAGTTATGCAATTTTGAAAGCGATAGAAAAGTGTTTATAAAGTGCACTTTAGTTTTGCATTTTTTGCTTAGAAATTTTTGTTTTTTGTTTTCAAAAAAATTTTTTTTCTTAAAATGGAAATTTTTGAAAATAGAAATAATTTTTTATGTTCTAATTTTTTTTTTTTCTTTTGTTTCTGTATAAATCCAATTAAAAATTATTTACTTGTGCTAAAGTTTCTTGAAAACATTTTACAACAGGCTCGACATGTTCGCCAAAGGTGTAGATGTTAACAAAGTCATTTGTTCCTAATGTATCTAATATTGTGTTAACAAGATGTTTTGCAATATCTAGCCTCTGTCCTGTCATGGAGCCTGAACCATCCATAAGAATTATCATATCTTTTGGACTAGTAGCTGCTTCAATAAACCATGAACGTAATCTACAATCATATAAATCAACTGGATCCTGTTGCCATTTTGATGCCGGAAATTGTCTCATAAAACCAGTTGCACTACAAAAGAATTGCCATGATAATGTTGGATCCTTTTTATAATTATCACGAAATGTTTCATCTAAATTCTCTGACCATTTGATTGCATGTATAACTTCCGATGCTAAATATTTATATTTATATTAATTAAAAAAAAAAAAAATTAAAAAAAGTATACATTTATGTATGTAATAAAAATAAAACGAGTATACACAAAAATAAAAATAAAGAAAATTTTAAATGTTACTTATTGGTATAATAATAATTATAATTTTTTTTTTTTGTTTAAATACCTACCTCGATCGAAAACGTTCGTGGGAACATGAACTGAACTCAAACTGGTGTTTACTGGTGTTGAAAAGAATTCAGCCTTTTCTGTTAATATAATCCGTTTCGGTGGCAATTTGATTTTAGGTACACCACTGTCTTCTAAATCAGGGATTGGTGGCTCGGTGGGCTCTGGTTCATGAGGTTCCAACATTTCTTTTGCATTATAATATGAAAAATTTGCTTGAAGTTTTTCGTTTTGATGAGCCAAAGCTGTATTTTCAGCAATATCCATTATTCGCTAAAATATAAAACAAAAAAAAAAACAATTAGAAATTAGAAATTGTAATTAATGCAATGTTTTTGTATAAGATATTCGGTAGGGTATTCACTAACATATATATACATATGTATGTATATCTAACAAATCAAACTCACGAAGAAATCATAGAATCAAACTCTAGGATTTCTAACGCTGAAAATGAATACAATTTTTCTACATTCATATAAAAAATTAAAATAAAATTTTTTTTTACATATTTCTCAAAGCAATCTACTTTAAAATTATTTTACACGACCAAATAAAGTATAACAATTTTTTTTTTTAGAATCTCAAATTTCAATAATAAAAATTTGTATTTTTTTTTTTTTGAAATTTGTTGTAGAAGTGTCGGCTATTTTCGTTTTTAATGATTTATCTTTAAATTAAAAATTAATGGAGGAAAAAAAATTTTTGTTTTCTGAGGAACATATTATTATTTTTGTTTATTTAAAATTTTATTGCTTATTTTCTTCGGTAATATGTATGTTTATTTTCGTTTTCAAAAGAATATGAAGAAAACCGATCAAAATGCAATTCGAAAATTATATAAAAATTAAAGAATTCTTTTAAATAAGACAAAAACAAATTTAATGACCCAAACCCTATAATATTATAGATGAAGAATAGTTAATAAACAAATATGTGTTATATGGGCTATCCACTATTAAACTTGATCTTTTAATGTATTGAAAACATAGTAACACGTTGAACTGTTTATGAATTACTTGATCATTATTTGAAGAATTGAAATTTGGTTGAAGAAAATTTTTTTTAATTTTTATTGTTATAATTTTGTACGTTATATATGAAAGGATGTTTACAACGTGCTGGCCATAGAATACTAGGTGGCCAGAATTATATGTATACTTCAAATTAATATAAATTGTTGAAAATTCATAAATTATTGAGATAGTCATTTCTATTTAACAAAATATTAATTATTATTAAATAAATTTTTTTTCTTGTTTTCATATTTTTACATAACCTATTTTCCTCCTAATTATATGCAACTATTGCATATACTTAATATTACAAAAATAGCAATTTTAGCGTGTAGGTAGAAATACGTGGTGGTTATTCTTAAACTGTTATACATATATGTATATACTTATGTATTCTTTACAAATTATACTAACGAATGTTATTTAAAAAAAAAAAAAACAATTTTAAATGAAATAAAAATTTCCTTTTATAGAACGAACGAAATGCATAATGAATATTCATAAATGAATTGAATATTAATTAGTAAATTGTGTTTTTTCCATCTTATTTTAATAAAGCACTTTGTTCTTATATGGTTTATAATATTATGAAGGATAACAATAATTATTAAAATAGGAAAATTATTCATTTTCATATAACGTTAAAAAAATTTATGTATATTTTACATAGAAATGTAAATAGTCTATTTTTTTTTTCTATTTTACAGATTTCTGTATAAAAAATTTTAGTATAATATTGTCCATGTTAATTTATAATTTTGTAATTTAAAATGTATAAAAATTTTTTTATTTATAAAATGAGGTCAATATGTGCATAGAATTTTTTCCCTTATTTTTTTCGTTTGTTTGTTTTTTTTTTTTACATTTCTTTCTCTTTCTCTATATATGTATATTTGCAATATAAATAAATTAAAGAAAAAAAAAAATTAAATCAGAACACAAGTTAAAATAAAACAAAACAAACAAAAAAAATAAGGGAACAAAACAATAAAATGCATTTTAAAGTTTAATAGCCTATACAATAAAAGAAAATGTCCTAAGAAAAATAATTTTGACTCCTTTTTCAAATTAATTTAACAATTTTTCGGGAATTATATACCTACATATGAATGTTTAAGAAAAATTTTGTATACTTACTCTAACAGCACTAACTTTTAAATCCATCATCATTTTAATTTCATATGCAATTGTTTCAGCAATTTTACTACCAGATCTTGCAACCACTCGAGCCTGTTTGAAACTCTAAAACAAAAACATACATATAAATTTATGATTTATATATATAATTGATTTCAAAATGTATAAAATTTCTGATTTAATTAAATAAATTTTAAATAATATTAAATTATAATTAAATCAAAGCCCACTTCATACTAAAATAATAATTACATTTTGAAAATGTTATATACTATACAAGCATATTATATACATATTATATAAATTTGTGTATGAAAAACAAAATAAACAAAAATTATAATGGGAATAGTAGTATATATCTATATATGTAATTATATTTATATATATATATATATATATATATATATATACACATATTTAGAATATTTACATGAAATTCTTAATTTCAAAAATAGAAATACGAAAACAAAAAATTATCACTAACTATAAAAAAAAAAAAAAAATGTTTTCATTCAAAATTCTTGTTCCATATAAAATTATTGTGAAAAATCAATAAAAAGGAAACTAATATATAACATAAAAAAAAAACAAAAAACAAAAATAAACATACAAAAAATTTAAGTGTGCCAATAGGTCGTTCTATATTATAATGTAAATTGTGCTTGTATATCATATATATACAAAGATATATACTTGTATAATATTTTATTGCATTATTTTGTACAAGAAATATCATATATATACAATGTATATATATATATATATACAAAAATATACATGAATATAATAATGTATATGATTTTTTTTGGTTTTAATAAAATTAAAATATTTTAATTTGAATTAATTTAAAAATTATAATAATACATGTATTTTTAAATATACATACCTCTTGAACATCTTTTCGTCGTGTAATAAAATCCCCCAAATGCCATAATTCAACTCCAAGCTTTTCAGCCCAAGTTTTAACGCTATATATATATATATATATATATTATAATAGGTTATAATAAATGAAAAAAGAAAACAAAAATAATAAATTATATATATATATATATATATATATATATATAGGAAAATAAAAACTATATATGATTTAAATTTTTTTGATAATAATTTAATTTATATATTTTAAATAAATAATATTATAAAAATATTTATAAATAACAAAGCCGTATATATATATATATATATATATATATATATATATAGGATGTATGTGTAGGATTTAACCAAACTTTTTTTTCTTGATTCAATAATTTCCTGAATTAAATTTTACAATTTAATTATATTTATCTTGGAATAATATATTTCAGGTTTATAATATATACAATTATATAAAATTAATAAATTTATATATATTATGCAAATAAATTAATTGCAATATTATTAATCCTTTTATATATATATATATATATATTTAGAAAATTTGAAATTAAATTAAGGATTTCTTAAATTATATATATATATATATATAGAAATAGAAAAATTTTCTTTCCTTTTATATATATATATGTTGCTATATTTTAATATATATATATACTCACGCATTATATTTAATTTCATCAGCCGTAGTTCGCTGGGCATAAAACTCAGCAAAATTGGGAAATATCACAAGAAAAATGAAAATTCCAATAGAATATTTCTTAAATTCAACCATATTATCTTAACGAAAATTTAGTAGAAGCTAACTCATTTTTGTACCATTTACAAAATTTTTCATCTATACATTTTTACGAGGATTTTTTTTGCTTCTGCTTCTTCTTCTTCCTTTTTTGTATTATTTTTTTTAATATTAAAATCTTAATTTTTTTTTTTTATTTTAATTATTACACTTACAGTTTAATTTATTATTAGAATTAATATTAAAGAATTTTATACACTTTTGAATTTATTTTTTTTATACTACACTATTTATTTATTTACTTTTAATTTTCAAATAATATTTTATTTTTAAAATTAAAATATAAAACTCAAAAAATTTGCAAAAAGGAAAAAAAAAAAAATTTTTTTTTTTTTGAATTTCTTATTTTTTTATTATCTAAAAAACTACACGCGTATAATTAATTTCATTAAAATATTTTAATTAACTATAATTTTAACTAGATTTTTTCTATTTAATAATGAAAATTTTCTATTTTATTTTTTTTAAATATATATATTTCACTTTTTTTTTTCACTTCATGGATAATAACGAAAAATTTAATATGGCGTCCCTATACACTTTAATCTGCAGGGTAAAAAAAAAAACAAAAACAAAAAGAAAAAGGAAGACAAAAAGGAAAAAATTTAATCAAAAAAATCACAGTTTTACTTTCTGCATGCAGCACAAAATTTTCATTTAAAATATTAAAGTTAAAAAGAAATAAATATATTTTATATATTGTATGCAGTCAAACAGCGTTTCCACTTTGATATACAAATCAATTGAAATTGTTTTAAGTTTAGCCTGAATATAAAAATATATGAATCTGCTAAATTGGCCAAAATTGGCTAAATTTAACAAATTAAACAATATATTTTATTAAAAAACTTTCAAAATGTCAATTTTTTGAATTTTAATTCAGAATGGTATTTATTTTTTTTTGTATATATTGTGAATTATTGTGAAAGGTTGAATATTATACTACAATACAATGATTCCTCACTTAACGGAAACTCGATATACGAAATTTCGGTATTACGGAATTCAAAAAATTAAACTAAAAGTCTCTTTTTACGGAATGAAAAATTCGATTTACGGAAAATTTGTAAAACGGAAAAATTTAATGTTGTAATAATAATAAAATCCCAGTATATTTTATGTGGCTGTAACGTAATGTGATTTAATGTAATAAAAAAAAAATTTCAATTTACGGACAACATTGCCAGAACATATTAGTTCCGTAAAGCGACAGTGGCTTTGCTTTTGCTTTCAATTCGCTATTGTTTATATGCGAAATGTAATCAATTTAAATATTTCTATTTTTTGATTAACATGAAAATATTATTTATTTTAAATATGTATATATCAATTTACTCATTTATTTAATAATAAAAAAAAAATATTAACAATTATGAATGCAATATAAGTTGAAGGTACGTTATTTCATAAAGAATTTTGCTATACAAACTAATAAAATTGAAATTGCTGTTAAATAAAATATGAATTGGATATGAGGGTCCAATTCCATATATGGATATGGAATTGGATATGTTATTAAAAAATTTATGACAATTTGTGAAATAGTATGATGATTCATTTTTTTTTTTGTTTAAAAGGAATATAGTGATTTGTAAAGTGGGAAATTTGATGAAAAATACAAAACAATAACAATGAAAATTAAAAACAAAAATTAAAGAAAAATTTCTACAGCAAAATTAAAATATATTTTCATCTCTTTCTCTTATTAATTTCATTTAATTGTCCTTTTTCTTTTCTGTTTTCATAATTATTTGTATTTTTTTTTTGTTTTCTCTGCTTTTATTCATTTGACATTATTATGAAGACATAAACGTGTCCTGCGTATTAAAAATGTTTACGAGAATTTTCACGTGTATTTTCCCTTGTATGTTTTTTTAGTCTTGTATATAATACAAAATTTTAATATAGAAAAATGAAAAACAAAAAAAAAATAAGAAAAAAAAACGTATGTGTATTATCAAAACATAATAATAATAAAAAAGTGTAATATTTTGTGTTCACCTGTTGGAGCCAAGTATTTTTATTGTTCTTATTTTGTTTTTCTTTGAATTTTGATTAAATATATTATTTTGGTTTTTTTGAGTTGCGCTGTTAAAGGTGTTTTTCACGTGCAATTTTGTGTGATAATGAATGCAATTTTTTTTTTTTTTTTTGTTATAGAAAATTATAGTATATTTATATTTTTTGTTTTCTCTCTTCTTTTATTATTTACAAGCTTACGAATTTACGTATACATATAAACGAATATTTTATGTATATATATATATATGTACGTTATATGTAATAACAACTGACATTTTAGATATATAATCGATGTGTAATGCATATACCCTGTAATTGTTCTATATAATATATAAATATACACACACATGTATATAATTATAAATAATATTTAATATATATTAATATAATATATAAAATGTCTATGTTACAATTTCATATATGAAAATACATATGTATGTTATTGGAGAGGGTGCAGGAGGTGATAATTATTGTTTTATTATATTGTAAAGAAATTTAAAAAAATAAAATCCTTTAAAATTTTAATGTTATGTATGAACAGTAATATAATATGCAAAAAGAATAAAAATTAATAAAACCGCACATGGAATTTATTTTTAATATTTTTGTTTTTATTCTTTCTATTTTTATTACTTATTTTACACATTAAATTATTATGTAGATTTGTTATATGAATGAGGAAATATTAAAAAAAAAATATATATTCTACGATAGTAAAATTATTATTGTAACGTAATATTTTGTATAACATTATTATAATAATATGTTTAGTGTACATACTTATATTAACAATGTGGAATATTGTAAATATTGCATATATTACGGGGTATGAATAAAATATATATTAAAATATAAAGTATGTATATTATACACTGCTAAGTGGCTATTATTAATTATGTAAAATGAGAATACAAAAATCTAAAAATATATAAATATTTTTTAAAAAATTAATAAACATTTGACGAACGGAGTATGCAATTTTATTAGAAGAGTCTCCCGCATTTTGTTGACTTTTAATATTATTGAAACTAGGAGGCTGAAAATCAAAATGACCTAACCATCAATTCCGAAATTTTCGATTTTTTTAAAAATGTCTATAAAAATAGGAAAAAAATTGATGTGCATAGATAGTGAATCCAAATTTCGCTTGCAGACACCGATTTTTTTTTGGCTAAACGAACAATTTCAATTTTTCTAGAAGGAAAAAGGTCTGACCAAAAATTTTTACCGTTAAAATGAAAGAAACATTGAGAACAATATATATTAGGTTGTTGCTGGAATCATATCCATATGCATTTCAGCTGCATTTCAAATATTTTGATTTTTCAAATGCAATTTTCTCGAAAACAATTTTTTGATGATTATATAGACCACTTTGCTTCTGAGCCTCACAAAATATAGGCTTAAAATAGATTTTTTAAAAGTTGTTTTTTTTTTTGGAAACTATCGCAGGATTATTATAAATATAATTTCTCAAAGTTTCATTGAAATCGAATTAATATTGGAATAGTTTATAAAGAACTCACAAAAGCACATCCATTTATTTTAATATTAAGCCAAAATTAAATGTGATTTCAAAAAAAAAATATTTATTTTTAAAAATTATATTCATATCATAGAAAAAATTGCATTCTTGAAAAATTTCTAAAATTTGCTGGAAAATTTTTTAAAAATCATAATTCAACTCTCAAAACCTTATATTACATTTTTATGATAAATATTATACAAATTTAAAAATTATTCGAAAGAATACTGCAATTATTTTCAAAATTTACGATATGTTCCATAATTTTAGCACAATTTTAACTATTTTCAATATTTTTTATATAATCATGATCGGTTATATTTACAAAATTTTTCATTATATAATACATATTAATTGCCTATAATTCTCATTCAAACATAAATTCAGTAAATTTTTTTAATATTATAAGAACTTTTCCGGTTAATTGTATAAGCTTTAATTGCACCTTTCAATTCCTCACAATTTTGATAATAATGATTAAATATCAATTAATAATCTTTTTATATTTACATATACGTACATGTGTACTTTCCTCAATTCAATATAATATTATGTATGTATTTATATTATTATTAAAAAAATTTTTATCTACGGCCAATAAACAAACACATCTTCTTATGGGAACTTAAATATAATTAAAGAGATTCCTTTGATAAAAAAATGAATAAGACTGTAATTTTTAATTTATACCGGTGTCAAATACACATTCTGTTCTTTCTTTTTATCGTCGCGTAAATTCATACATATGTATGTATGTTCTTTTGTTAGAAAGAATGCATTTTATTTGTATGAACATATGTACATAAATATTTTCTTTGTATTTATTTTAAAATTTTATATCGAAAAATGACTTAAAATACAAAACAAATTATGATTGAATATATACAGGGTGTTTCTGTTCTAAGACATTCCAAATTTTTATGAAATTGCTGTAGGTAAAATTTTTGGATAGAAGTTGATGTTAAGAGTTATAAAAGAAATTTTAAATATATTTTCATTTTTATTGCGCGTTTTAAAAATATTTGAATAACCGAAAAGTGTTTTCCACCTGTTCCAGTTCATAAGTTTCGAAATTAATCATAAAAATAGTTTCGAACTGATTTTGTATCTTAAATTTTTTTTATATTCAAATGAATACTGACTTCAAACAAATGTGTTTATTTTATGAGTTTTTAAATGAGTGTAGCGAGTTTTTAAATGAGTGTTAGCTATCATATCATCTGAATTATAAACAAAAATGTAAAAAATTGAACGGTTTTCTAAAAGGCTTTGAACCTTATAACTCGAGAAAAAGAATAATTGTTCTTGTTCGCCTGGATCAATTTTTTCACTCTACTTCGAAGGTACTATCCAATCTTCAAAACCATATATGAATTGTGATTCGAATTAGCTATTTCTGCCCATCAAACCAACAGCTAAAAAACCCATTAAGCTATAGACTAATCAAACTTTCGATAATTGCTAAGAGTTTTTTACCTTAAAATAGATTCAATGGAAGAATCGCATAGCTGCCATACAGCTCTAAAAAATATTCAGTCATATTACGGAGTATCGTAAGGATATTGTAAGAATATCGTAAAAATTTAGTAATTATAAATATTCAAATTTTATTAAAAAAATTTTATACATAAATGTATGTATGTATAAATTCGAAAAATATCTTATGTCAATTTGATTACTCTGAAATTATAAAATTTAATTTTATTAAATTTATTCATTTGTTTTAATATTTTATAATATCTATACATTAATTGTAATATTTTAAATTTTCTTCAAATGAATTATTTAAATTCTTGTGTATATAAAGGTTGCGATGGCATTTGCTCCCCATCAAATCAGGTAAAATAGATCGTACTGAAGATTTTAAATTAAAATTTATTTCTATACGAGTATACATACAATTTTAGAGCTATGGCCAGAATTTGAGAATTTTACTAACTGACTGGATTTACAAGAATATTAATTTATCAGGAAGTGCTCAAAGTTTTATAGCGGCAGCTATCTTTTTAATTTTAGTTTGGCTAATTATAGGATGGATGATAAAATTAATAATTGCGATCATTTGGCCAATTGCTCTGACAATATTATTTTTGGTAAGTAAAGTTCGCAATTTATAAAATTTCTATTTCAATTTTGATTGTAAATAAATATTTAATTCTTTTTAGATAATGTATCCATGTATTAAAGAAAGAGGTTTACATTTCTTAATACCAAAAATTATCGAAGTCACAAAGGAATTATATTCAAAATTCGCAATATTTTTATCAAATTATTTTAAGTAAATCTTGAAATAATTGAAATGTAAAAATTTTAATTTTTAGATTATTTAAATTTTGATGAAATATAAATAGTAGTAATGTAGTAAATTTATATTTTTTGAAGTGAAACAATAACCTTTTCACATTACCTTTGATCACTCAGTATGATATGCTAAAAATAAGATATAAATTACTGTAGAGTGACTATGTGCTGAATTCTGCCTCATTATAATGTGGTAGGCAATTAGAAGGCTTGTGATTTAACTAGGTTGGAATATTGTTTTAAGGAGTATAATTTATTGCTTAAGGTTGTGAAAACCCTCTTATAGGTATAGGGCAGAGAGATTACGTAGGGTGTAAGCTACCAGCCTTCTCATCAACTACTACCATTGCTACAATTACGCTACACCACTTAAACACAATGTTCGCAATTATGTATATTTGAATAGTTTAACCATTAATGTACTTGTTCTGTTAACGCATTTGAAAAATTCTTAATTACGTTACCATGATTTTGAAATGACATCCCTTTTTGAATTAAGTTTAGTATGAAATATTACACAATTATTTAAATATATAAATAATAATCAAAAATAATAAAGTAAATTATTTTTTTAAGAAAAATTATGCCTGTTGCAATTCGTCTTATCGAAATTCTAACTTTAGTATTTATGTTAATTGTACTAACCACACTTTCATTAATTATTTTGGTTGCAGAAAAATTTTTGGCCATAACTATCCTTTTATTCAAGGTTAAAACTGGAAACTTTTATTAAATTATATAAGATATTCAGAAATTGAAATTTTAGCTTTTCGTTTCGATGTTATTACTTGCCCTGCTATCCACAGTACGTGCTCTTATACGGCTTTTGCAATATATACTTTAACGCAGCGAAGTACCAAACAGAAAAATTTTGTAAATCTTCAAAAGCATAAAATTTATGTGATTCAAGTAACTATAATGTGAAGTAATTCAATGTTAAAAGTGAAATAGAGAATCAGTTTTATGATAAATTTATTATTAAAAGAAAATACTAATAATTGTACTCAAAATTTTTATTGATATCTTAAACAAATAAAAAAGATAATAATATAAATGTTATATAAAAAAAAAAAAAAAACAAAAAATATTTTATTTTATATACAATCCAATGGTCCAATATATTATTTTAATATTCAGTTATGAAAAAAAATCTCATATCAATAATCTAAAATAGTCTATTCTTCTATAATCTTAAATATAACTTATGATATAAAATAGGAGAAACCTCTTAATTCTGGGTTATTGTATAAAACTTTTAAATATATGAATATACATACATAAATAAATATTATTATTTTACTTTGCAATTGAAAGTTTTTCAACGCTAGCTAATAAACTATCAGCTTCATTAACAACCTGATCATTCGTACTCAGATTTTGTAATCTTTCTTCAATGCCTTCCAAGTCTTCCAAATCTCTTTTTTGTTTACAAAAATATCGTAAGATAAGAGCAATCAACAAGCACATATCTTCAATTATTTTAATTACTTCTGGAGTTGGACATCTTGAACGCATTAATCTCAGTCTACCTTCAGCTAATTCAAGTGGATTTTTTCCACTTCTATCAATAACATGTACACTAGCTCCCTGTTGCAATAATATTCTAACAACTAAATTAAAATTTGTTGAGCTTGCTGATATGACTGCTAAATGTAATGGTGTATTACCCAATGAATCAACAATATTAGGATTAGCACCATATTTTAATAATTGCGATACGATATCTGTGTATCCGCGACATGCAGCTAAATGTAATGGACTTCTTTTATGTTCATCAGAGCAATTTGGGTCGACACCAGATTTTAACAAATTTGTTAGAAGTTCAATATTACATGTTGATGCAGCCAACCGTAATTTCCTTTCTTTATATTGACTTATTTCATGTTTAACTCGATTCCTTTGGGAATGAAGACGACGAAAAGAATTTATTTTGAATTTTCCAGGCGGTAAAGAACCAAACTGTAATTTATTTTCAGTCGAAGTTGATGTTGATGAAACAGGTTGTGGTAAAGCAAAGCATTGTAACATTTTATTATTATCAAAAAGTTTGGGTAAAACACAAAAATTAGATAAATTCGAATTCATAACTAAATTAGCATCGTTACTATCATTGCTGGAATCTACACCTGAATCATTTGAAGCCATTTAATAACAAATTTCAAAAATATTTTCCCTGGCTATGTTGAAAAAAAACTTTTTTTTTTTATTTGTTTACGAGATATCTGTAAATGTCACTAAATGAAATGTGATGAATGCCAACAAAACAAAACTAAAAACAATATAAGTAAATTCACGGTAAATTGTTTTTTCATTTGGCTGACATCTGTTGTCAGATAATAAAAAAGTGGAAAAAGTACATATAAAAATTATTTTTCCTTTTTAATTTTTATAATTCATATTATGTATGTGAAATCGATGTTCATATAAATTCATATTATATGATATTATGTGAATTATATGATATAGAAAATTTTACATTTATGACTTATAAACGTCATTGTTTGTCTTTCTAACCTGGCAAAGCAAATTGCATATATAAACCCGATGTAAAATAAATATTATTTGTTTTTTGTTTACATTTTAGTTATATTTCGAAGAAGAAACATTTGAAGAATTTGCAGATAAACACAAAAAAAAAAAAAAAACAATTTCTTGACAGTTTTTTAAAAGTAATACAAAGCATATATTCATCTCGAAATGAAATTGGTACTCTGTTTTTCTTTGATAATTAATTTTTATAAAATATAGTATATTATAACCTTCCTACATATAATAAAATTGATATTATAATTTTAGTATTGCTTAAGCGGGGATCCGGCAAAACCTTGTTATGTTGTTAGCTTCAAGGAATTACTGATCATGTTAGATTGTGGATTGTCGGCTCAGTCAGTTTTGAATTTTTTACCGCTTCCACTTGTTCAAAGCTCAAAATTAGCTAATTTAGCTAATTGGATTCCTAGTAGAGAACACGACCCACAAATGGATGGTGAATTAAAAGAATGCTGTGGAAGAGTTTTCGTAGATTCAGCACCAGAATTTTCTTTACCTTTAGATAGACTTATTGATTTCAGTGAAATTGATGTTATTTTAATATCAAATTACCTAAATATGCTTGCTTTACCATATATAACAGAGGGTACCGATTTTAAAGGCACTGTATACGCAACTGAACCAACTTTACAAATTGGACAATTTTTCATGGAAGAGCTTGTTGAATATATTGAAGCAGTGCCTAAACCGAATAATGCTAATTTATGGAAAGATATGTTACAAATCTTACCATCTCCTTTATGTGATTTATACAAACCTAAAAAGTGGAGAAAAATTTTCTCACTTGATGACGTAAAAAAGGCTTTGTCAAGGGTAAAAATTGCAGGTTACGATGAAAAATTGGTAAATATAATTTTTTTCTTATTGAAATCGTTACTATCAACACATGTACATATGTACATATATACTACTTCTCGTTCTCACATACATAATATATATATATTTTTACAAAACTAAATAACCTCAATTTTAGGACATTTTTGGGGCTCTTCAGGTAACCCCTGTCAGTTCCGGATATTGTTTAGGTTCAAGTAATTGGGTGTTGAGTACAGGTCACGAAAAAATTTGTTATGTAAGTGGGTCATCTACATTAACTACTCATCCGAGACCAATTAATCAAACCGTTTTAAAACATGCAGATGTAGTTATATTGACTGGTTTAACTCAGGCACCGCATGTAAATCCTGATACTATGCTGGGAGAGTTGTGTATGAATGTTGGTAAGCAAAGTCGCCAAGATGTTTTTCGCATTTTCTAAAAATATTTTCAATTTGTAGCTGTCACTTTGCGAAATAATGGATCAGTTTTGATACCATGTTATCCATCTGGAGTTGTGTATGACTTGTTCGAATGTCTATCTACAAATCTTGATAACGCTGGTTTGACCAACATACCAATGTTTTTTATATCTCCAGTTGCTGACAGCTCTTTGGCTTATTCAAATATATTAGCTGAATGGTTAAGTTCTGTTAAACAAAATAAAGTTTATATTCCAGATGATCCGTTTCCCCATGCTTTTTTAGTTAAAAACGCTCGATTAAAGCACTATAAACGGATTTATTCGGAAGGTTTTAGTACTGATTTCAGACAGGTAATTTATGAAATTTTTTTTTTCATAATTTTCTTAAACGTAACATATTTAAAGCCATGCGTCGTTTTTTGTGGTCACCCAAGTTTGAGATTTGGAGACGTTGTACATTTTATTGAACTGTGGGGAAATAACCCGCAACATACTATCATCTTTACCGGTAATCTTTCCTTATTAAATTTGAAAGAAAATTTTTTTTAAAAACAAATTTTACATGTTTTAGAGCCAGATTATCCCTATCTTCAAGCATTGGCACCATATCAACCTTTGGCAATGAAAGCTATATATTGTCCAATAGAAACTTCACTAAATTTTCAACAAGCAAATAAGCTTGTCAAGGAATTAAAACCCAATGTACTTGTCATACCAGAAAGTTACACACATCCACCACAAATGGCTCCGCATAAATTAGATTTAGTTATTGATCAAACTCCTGATCGTAAAATAATAACATTTAAATTTGGTGAATATGTTAAACTGCCATTAAAACGTAAAAAAAATCGGGTATATTTATCATCAGATTTGGCTGATAGCATTGTTCCGAAAGAAATTATACCTGGTACAAATTTTTCAACTGTTACTGGTATATTACATGTTAAAGATAATGTTCATAATATTAAGCCAATAGAAGATGAAAAAACAGAACCATCATCTTCATCTTCAAATACGTATCCACCAAGTAAAGAGCAGACATTAAAGAAAGCAAAATATGAATTTGGTTCTTTAGATGTTGATTTATTTGTAAAAAAATTAATACAAGATGGTATTACAGATGTTAAAGTAGAACAAGGTGGAAATGGTAGTGTAACAATATTTATTCCTAGCGAAGATACAAAAATTGAAATAACTTTAAAGAGTACACATATTATTTGCGGGGGAAAACAATCTTTACGTTTGAAATTAAGAGATCTTCTATTAAAATGTATACAGACGTTTTAATTTTTTTTTTTTAAATAAAAATAAAACATGTAGAAAAATATTAAAATTGTTTTTTTTTTTTTTTGTGCAAAATTTTTTCCAATTTCGGAAAAAATTTTTAAATCAAAAAATTCCTATTTACTTTATTTAATATTTAATAAAAAGTTTCCAAAATAGAAAAATATGGAATTATTAGACAATTTATTATTATCGAATAGATATTGACAATTTCTGACTAAATTCATCAAAATAAAAAAAAAATTACTGAAAATGTTAAAATTATTGCATTGCAAAGCAAAATTTGTTTTTTAATAGTAGTTAAAAATAATCTCATTCAATAATCGCAATAATTTGAAGACATTGAAAATTTGAACAAATAAATGCGCACCAGGAGAAAACCTATGAATAATGTTGCAGAACAATAGCATCGGAAAACCAATGATAAACTGAATTTTTTATTTCAAACTAAATTTTTTGACAAATTACAGGTGAAGGATATAGTTATAGAAAATGCATTATTTTTATTATTGAATACAAGTTCAGCTCTGGGTATTAACGCCCTCGGGGAGTGAAAATTCCTTGGAATTTTTAAATGTGGCTTAAAAATACGCAAAACAAAAATTTAATTTAATAAAAAATTAAATGAAACAAAATATTCAATTATTTTTTTTTTCTTTGTTTTTTTTTTTCATTTCTTTATCATTCTTATAATTATATCCTTAAAATTACAGCCTTTTATGTTTTTTTTTTACAATTTTTTTATAGCATTTTTTTTTCTTTATTACATTTAATATTATTTATTTTGTATCATATTTTTTTTTTGTATTTTTTTTTAATATTTTAAATTTTTTTATTTTTTTTTTGTTTTTATTTATTTTAATTTTAATTTGTATTTAGTTATGGTTCGTTATAATATTATATATATTTTTATATATATTTATGTATGTATTTATAAATATACTAATGCATATATATACAATATATTATGTGTTTTTTATTTTTAGTATCATAATATTTTTTTTTATAGAATATTTTTATTTTGTTTTATAAGATATTTATAATATGTGTTATATAATTATATATTTATGCATAAGTAATTATAATTTTGATAATAGTACATAATTCTAAAATTTATTTTATGGCCCATAGTTAATACATATAGGAATATTATATATATATATATATATATATATATATATATATATATATATGTATTATTATATTAAATACATTTATTTATGTATTATATGTTTTGTATTTGTTTTACTATAATATTTTTTAGATACATTTTATACGGTTTTTATGTAAAATTAATTATTTTACATTATTGTGTGTCTAATCTTAAAAATATTTTCAAATTATATATATATATATATATATATACAATTGTATGTATACATATATAGATATATATATATATATATTATAAATTATTAATTTTTAAAAGTAATTTTTTCAGTTTTTATGTTTTATGTTTTTTTTTTCTTTTGTTTTCTTGAAAATTTCGTGTATTTATTTATATTATATTTTTTGTTTATTTTTTATTTTTATATAATTTTTTGTTTAAAGTTTACAATGCTTTGTTTTAATGTTTTGTTTTTTTTTTTTAGTTATGTAAGACCAACAACAATTTTTTTTTATAATTTTTTTTTGTTTTTATTTACTGTACATATATATTATATAATATATTTACTAATATATGAAGTTTTTTTTTAATATTTTATACATATATACATTCACAATTTTTTATATTTGTTTGTTTTTTTTTTTTAGTTTTTTTTATTTTATATAATATTTTTGTTCTTATATTTTTTGAAAGGACTTTTATAATTTTAAATATAGTAAAAAAAGTTAAAATGTTTTGCCTTTTCTTTGAATATATATAAATATATATATATATATATATATATATTTTTTAATTATTATTTTAGTCCGCCAAGTATATGTAGTTTTAGTATGTAATATGATATTACATATTTAATGTATATATATATATATATATATATTTATAATAATTTTAAATAAGAGTAGATTGTTAATAACTTTTGTTTTTTTTTTTTCAATGCGTTGCTCTTTAATTTTATTTGTTTCTTTGTTCTTTTTTTTTTAAGTTTATAAATGTTACAATTTTACATCTATTAATATTAATTTGTATATTATAAAACAAAAAAAAAATATATATATATATATGAATGTTAGAGATCAATTTAAAAAAAAATTAATTAAAAAAAAAAACAAGACAATTGAACATTTACCAAAATGCAAATCTGACGCCGCCTTAATTCGATTTATTCAGCAATACAATTCAAAATGAAAAAAGTCAAATTGACGTTATATCTGCATTTTGATAGACGCCCAATAATTTGAATAAAGTTTGTAATGAGGAAATCGGTTTGATTTTCTTAATTTTTAATATTTTTTCAGTTTTGTTTTTTTTTTTTTTTTTATTCTGTAAATATTTTTTATAGATATAAATTTATTCGTAATATTGTATGTATGTAGCAAATATGAAAATATTTGTTTTTATAATTTTTTTTTGTTTTAATTTTAATGTTTTAAATATTTTATAGATTAAAAAAAAAAAAATTGTAAAAAAAAAAATATATTTTTAATACCAGTATAAGTATATTTAGTTATTATAAATAATTATGTATGTATATTATTTAATATTTTTATTATTTTCTAATCAATTGAATAATAGGCATTTGAAAAAAAAATATACACGTACGTTATGTATTAAATATGCATCCACATTCTCTTCTAAAAAATTTTCCGATAATATTCCCTGACATCGGAATTACAATAGTACCGTATCGATAAACAATTCAGCAATTGACATTTACAAGATGAATTCTGCATTAATACGTTATTATTACAATTCCGATTATAGGGTTTATTTCAACAAAAGTATTAGTAAAGTTTATCAATTTAATAAAATCAAATTAATATTTTTTTACGTTTTGCGCAAAACACAACAAATAAATAAAATTATAAAAGAAAAATTGTATTTTAAACAATTCAGCAATTAAAATTCACTAACTCATTAACCGAAATTTGTAAACCGTTTCACTTAAAATTAATAATAAATTAGGGCAAATAAAATTTTCTTAAGATCGAATTATTTATGCACTTTTCTATTTTCAAATATAATTAAATTTATATAAAATATTTTAAGAAAAAAAAAAAAAAAGAATAATGTCTAAAACAAAATTATTATCTATCACTATTAAGTGATTAATTTTCAAAATAATTAAAAAATAATTGGAAATATTCAAACACAATTCAACTTATAAATTGTAATTGCTGAATTAAATATTTATACTGTACTAATAAAATTTTGAAGTCATGATTATTGAATTTTAAATTAAAATAACTTATGTAATATTCATTTTTCGTGTATTGTTAAATTCTGTTAAACAATATAAATAAGTGGAAAAAGATTTTTTGGAATATGTTTTTTATTTATTATTTCTTTTACATTTGCCCTTTATTCATTTTGATAAAAATTATTTATGTAAGTTTTAAGTTTAAATTTCTGACTATAGACACAATAATTAAAATTATGTAATAGAGAATATTGAATATTATATTTAATATATAAATATATTTACTTATTTTAATCAACTATTTCAGGATGTTTAATATTTATTTTGTAATATTTTTTTTATATAATTTAAATATTTTTATATAATATAGATTTAAAAAAAAAGAAAATTGGGTTTTCGATGTGGTAATTTTTGTGGTAATTTATACAATATAATAATATTAATTTTTTTTATTTGAATATTAAATATTCTATTTAATATTATATTTTTTTTTTTAATTTTAATGTGATGTCTAAATTTGATAATTTGTTAATTTTAAAAAAATTTGTTTTTTTTTTTTTTCATTTTATTGTTATTATTTTTTTTTATCTGTTATATGTATATGAAAATGAACTAAAATGTAGAATTGAGCAAAAAAAAAATGTTATATTTTTTAAGAGGGATAAGCTTTTTTATTTAAAAAATATTTTTTTTTTTAATTAACATTTTAATTGAATTTATTAAATAAGAGACATAGAGACATTTAAAGGGATAGATTTTTGGTATTAATTTTAAATGTTGGAAAAATTTTGAAGGAAAATTTTTTCATTTTTAATTTTTAGAAAATTTTGGAATGTTTATAGATTTTAATTTTGCTTACTAATTTTATTAATTATTTCGTTTTGTTCTTTTTTAATTTTTTTTTTGTTTTTTTGCTTTTTATTTTTGTTATATAGTTAGCTAATAGTATAATAATAATAATGATAATTTAATAAAATTTTAGAAAGAATACAATATAAATTGACAGAATACTTATGGTAATTAAAAAAAAAAGAACCAATTTTATAAATTTTCTTTTCTTTTTTTATTTATCAAATTTTCTTTTTGTATTTTTTTTTTTAATTTTTTTGTTAAAAAAGTTTATATGGAAGCCTCTCGAGTTTAAAAGTTTAACTTGTTGACACTCTAAAAGGCACTCATCATGCGTATGTTCTTAAAAACAAAAGTAAAACAAATAATAATTTCCATTTTGGTTTAAACACCAAAGGTTCAAAAAAAAATTATTCAAATGAATGGTTTTTAGCATTTTTATTTTTTATTAAAGAATCAACAAAAATTGGCAAATAAAACAACTAAACAAATTGTATAAGCGTTTCAACAAAAACAATGTAGTCGAAACTGTAGATAATTAGGAAGTAACACAAAAGAATAATTGTAATAAATTGTACATAAAATATTAACATTTTATGCAATTTATTGTTGAAGTTTGTTTACAGCCGGGTAAACTTATAATCGGGTCCAAAATATAAATAATTTCTACAGCAAAATTGTGCATTGTACATATTTTGATATTATTTCAAAATGGAAGTTTAAATTTAGTAATATAAGAAATTTAACTTTTCTTTTGCAAATTTATTTTTATATTATTAGAAAACATTGAATTTCTAATGTATAAAAAACATACTTTGACAAATAATATTTCAAAGAAAATTTAAAATATTATAAAATTATATAATTTTTTATAGAGTT